CAGCAGCAGGGTTTGCTGGTTCCTATCACACCTACGCACTGCTTTTCAAGCCATGCTGTGGCGGCGTCACATATAAAGTAGAGGAAGATGCGCACAGATGTTAGCCCAGGGCCAGTCTTCCTCAGCAAAAAAAAAAAGAGGAGAATTGACATCGGATGTTAGCTCAGGGCTAATCTTTCTCACCAAAAAAAAATGGAAACAAACAAAAAAACGCAAACATAACTATTTGCTTACCACATTTATTTTGGAAATGTATGCCTTCTAAAACTGGGCCGCGTCCACGCCAGCCCTTGGAAGGCTTGCGTAAGAGCCCCTGAGCTGTAGGTGTGAGTGCTGTGCATCCCCAGCCTTTGCCTCCAACTGCTGGTGCCTCTCTCTGTGTGTCCCTGGGGCTGTCCCTGGAGCATTGTTTGTCCACTTTTGATTTGAAAATGAGAGCACTGGATCACCTACATCAATGATTTTCAAACATTTTAACTACAGTCTTCTGTTAAATGGAATCATCTGGACACATAGTCGTCCTGCATGTGATGAGGGATACAATAGAAGTAGGTGTGTTGGGGCCGGCCCGTGGCTTAGCAGTTAAGTGCGTGCGCTCCGCTACTGGCGGCCGGTTCGGATCCCAGGCGCACACTGACGCACCGCTTCTCCGGCCGTGCTGATGCCGCGTCCCACATACAGCAACTAGAAGGATGTGCAACTATGACATACAACTATCTACTGGGGCTTTTGGAGGAAAAAAAGGAGGAGGATTGGCAATAGATGTTAGCTCAGAGCCAGTCTTCCTCAGCAAAAAGGGGGAAGATTAGCATGGATGTTAGCTCAGGGCTGATCTTCCTCACAAAAAAAAAAAAAAGAAGTAGGTGTGTTAATGTTATTTAGTAGTTTCTTTTACTTAAAAAGAGCAGCTATTATCTATTTCATTAGTTTTATTCTTGTGTGTAGAAAGTAAGTGACAAATACTGTTTTCCTCGTATCTACAGGACCAAGTTAACCCTTCTTTATTGGTGAAGTAGCTAACTGTTTCTACTGTGTGATTTTGGGTGGATCTTGAGTGGGAAGAAGTTGCTTCACACATACAAGGTGCTCAGTAAGTGTTGAGAACACACACACACACACACCCCTGCTAATGTTCCAGAGAATTAAAATACTCCTCTTTTGAGACATTCCTTTCAGTTAATTTATTATTTATCCAGAAGGCCCCTGTGATAACATGGAAATAGTTTAGCCAGGGACCAATATTAACCCATTAGCATCAAAATTTAGATTATTTATCCAGTGAGGCAGTCATGTTGTGATAGAGTCTATAAATGTTGAAGGGCTTAGAGAAGCAAAAGCACAGAGTAGGAGGTGCCACTTTGTTTTTCCTTCCCAACTTTTGACTTTGAAGGATTTGCTGTTCATTCATACCTCAAGTATTTATTCAGTACCTACTATAAGGAAAGCACTGTTCTAAAAGTGGCAAAGGATACAAAGATTAATAAGATAGTTCTGCCTTCAAGGAGTTTACAGTTGACTAACATAGCTAAGGCAAATATTTAAATGTCTGTAACATAAGATGGAGAGTGGTAGGTTGCATAAGAAAAATATAAATAAGGTACAAAATTGTTTAAAAATGGGAAAGATTTTTCCAGGCTAGTAGATATTCAAACCTTTATCCACAATTTCCAATTAAAAAATAAATAAATAAATAACTACCAATCTATGTAGAGAACTGTCAAGTGGTTTACTATCCTCCTGCTCTTATTTTTTTATTTACTTACATATCTTTCCTTTCTGCTGAGCTGTAATGTTCTTCATGGCAGGGTATATCTTAACTCTGTGTATCCCAAGTCCCTAATTGTGCCTGGTTCATAGAATGCATTCCATAAATATTTGTTGAATGGGTGTGTGTGTCGCCAGTAATCCAACTTGCTTTCTAATAAGAAAAATTCTATTCTATTGTGAAGCATATTTAACAAATAAACTCAGTGCAGTTAAAAAGTACAGTTTTCTCCTCGGAAACTAAACATTTCAAAAGGACAGCTTTTATAAGATTATACACAATTTGCACCATAAAGAAAGTAAAGCATCTTTTATAATCTTAGAAAAGATTAGATCTGAGACCTATAAACCTGAATCAAAAGCAGAAGCACCTATCTCTGTCATTCTCTCCAGTTACACTGGTTGTGACAATATGTTTTTATGGTATTTAATGATAAGGCCAGGACTTCAGTGAAAGTGAGTTATAAATAAACTTACATTTCAATTGTAAGTGAATGATAAATCATACATAATTCTTTTTTAAGTGTTCACCTATTTAAATTTTGAGTAGAAAATGTTTTTCATATTTAGCACTAAATAATCTCTAAGATCCTTCAAGCTTTGAAAATTTTGTAATTTTATGATTGCGCGTGGGGAAGAAATGTCATAAGTATAAGCATCTTTATGTGTCTTTTTCTTTGAGTACTTATGACAGTGTCATTCGTCTTAGAATGGAAACTCTTTGGGGTGGTACTTTTAAGTCAATTCAGTTAATATGTCTGAAGCAGCTGCTGGAATTGGGGTAGGAGTACTAAATTTAATAAATTGCAAGGACCAGGAGCTTACAGACTATCGAGGGATATATACAATCATTATAAAGTAGATTAATGAAATAGGAGCTTATTTGTCTCACTTAGCAAAAGTCTAGAGGCAGGCAGTCTAGGGCTTGTACGGCAGCTCACCATTGTCATCCAGAGACTTGGGCTCTTTTTTCTTCTCATGTTTCCATACTTATTATGTGGGTTACCATCCTCTTGGTTGAAAAATGGCTATGGCGCCTCCCAGTATCTAACCATGTTCCAAGTAGAAAGAAAGTAAAAGGGCAAAAGCTTTCTTCTCTTAAAGCTTTATCTCTTCATCTTTTTATTTGTAATAGGAAGCCTGTCCCAGGGACTTCTTCCTACATCTTACTGGCCAGAACTATATCGTATGGCCACTCCTAGCTGCAAAGTGGCTAGGGAAGAAGGGAGCTGTGGATAGCCGTTAAGATAGCCAAGCAACAGTGTTTGCAGTTACTCCTTTTCTGTTTTCCCTTTGGGCTATAGACCTTTAAGGTTCCTAAGAAAAGGCCAAGTTATTTATGCATAAGGGTATAATGCTCTAAGAAGTCCCTTTTTGTCATTAAATGATTCATTTACTGATTCAACAAATACTTATTTTCTATTGCCTAATATGTGCTGGCTGCTATTCTAGCTATTGGTGATAATAGTGAACAAAAAAGACAAAGTTGCTGCTCTTGTGGAGCTTACATTCTACTTAGAAGGAGGCTATAAACAAATAAATATAAATATATATTATATATAGTATAGTATGTGGCTGTGAATATCCATATATATGTGTGTATGTGTATATGTATATCCATGAAGAAAGGTAAAGTAAGGTAAGGAGGATAGAGAGTGATGGTAGATAATATTCTGTATAGAATGTTTAATATCAGGCCTCTTAACATCATCCCTGAAAGAAATGAGGGATGGATGGAGCCATAATATCTAGGGAAGAATGGTCCAAGTAGAGGAAACAGCAAGTACAAAGACCCTGAAGAGAGATGTATTTGGCATGCTCAAGGACCAGCAAGGAACCAGTATGGCTAGAGCATAGTGAACAAGGGGGGAAATGACAGGAGATGAGAACAGTGGGGGCCATAATATGTTGGGCTTTGTGGGCCATAGCAAAGATTTTACTCTGAGTGAAATGGAAAGTCATTGGAGGGTTGTGAGCAGAGATTAGCACAATCCAACTTACAATTTAAAAAGATTACTGTAACTACTGTGTGGAGAATAAATTGTAGTGGGACAAGGGTAGAAGCAAGGAGACCAGTGAGGACACTGTTCAGTTTCCCAGGAAATAAATGATGGTTCCAACTGTTGTAGTAGTTGTGAAGATGGTGAGAAATGATCAGATTCTAGAGATATTTCAAAGGTAGTTTAGATATGGTTCTGATGAAAAGAGGAGTTTTGTATTAATAACTGGAAGAATGGAATTGCTATTTACTGAGGTGGGAATGGTGAGAGAATAAGACATCGTGTGCGTAAGATAGGAGGATGAGAATCAAGAGTTTGATCTTGGACCTGTTAGGTTTGAATTGCCTATTACACATCCAAGTGCACGTTGGATGATTTATAAGTTTGGAGATATATATTCTTATCTACCAGCTATTTGGATGACATATAAATCTAGAGTTCAAGGTAGACGTTGGGATTGGAGATATAAAATTAGGAGTTTTCGTGTGTAGGTGTTGTTAATGCTATGGGACTAGATAAGGTTAGGTAGGGAATGAGTAGCTAAATATTAATCTTTTTCTATGACTTTTTTCAGAGGAAAGAAAATTTCCTATGAAATCCTAAATAAATTCAAGTTTGGGTATAGTCATGCATTGTTTAATGACAAGGATGCATTCTGAGAAATGCATCATTAGCCAATTTTGTCATAGTGCAAACATCATAGATTATACTTACACAAACCTAGGTGGTATAGCCTACTACACATCTAGGCTATATGGTACAAGTCTTATGGGACCACCATTATATATGTGGTGCGTCGTTGACTGAAACATCAGTATGCAGTGCATGACTTGATTTCATTTTACTAACTAGCTCATTAAGTGTTCAAAGTTTAGTACAGTGGTTAAGGACATGGGCTCTGAAGCTAGGCTACCTAGGTTTGAATCCTGGCTCTTCTGTTACTAGCTCAGTGTTTTGGACCAAGATATGTAAACCCCTCTTTCCTCATATGTAAATAAGGATAGTAATGATGCCTCCTCATAGGGTTGCTGTAAAGATTAATTAGAACAGTGCTGTGATATATAGTTAACACTCAAAAATGATTAGCCAATATCATCATTAAATTTCACCAAGTCTTGACACATGATGTAGTATTGCTAACTTGATTTAATGTTCCAATAGTTAATGTTAAAGTCATTCCCACTTTTTAATCAGTGTTTCAGCATCATATTCTTAGTTAATTATCTTCCTGTTTAGGTCACAGTGCTGTCGATATCACCAAGGTGGCTAGAAGACATCGCATGTCTCCTTTTCCTCTAACATCTATGGACAAAGCCTTCATCACAGTCCTGGAGATGACTCCGGTGCTTGGGACAGAAATCATCAACTACCGAGGTACTATTATATTTGCCCATTGCCTTTTCTTTTCACTTTTTTCCAAGAAAGATTTACGTAACATTAAGATATAGTTTTCCTGAAAGAGAAAGATTATTAACCATTACCACAATTATCATCATTCTTTTTGCTTCTTATTTATACTCAACTCTAAAATCAGTCTTAATAGTATACACAGTAAAGCACCCATAAAATTTCTTTTTCATTAAAAAAAAAAAAAAGGAAAAAAATCAACTGTGTTTCCCCTGTCCATCAAAATACCAACATTCTAAACTAAAGAGAGGACAATCAGCATTGAGTGAGAAAAATAGTTAACTCTGAGTCTGCCTGATATCCTTTCTCTCAGAAATAGGAGATAATGTGTCCTGTAGTGTTTTTAAATGTAAAATGTAAAAACTACATTAATTTATCCATGGATCATTGAGCAACCAGTCTGATCTCATTTTTTTTTCTGCTTCATCTGTCTTCTCATTTTCTGCTGTTAGTTTAGTAGCACATTGAGACCAGCTTGTGGAAAGACAATGGTAAGGTAGTGTTCCCCAGTTTTTTCAGTTTCTAATCAACCATTTCCCTTTCTAAAAATTCAGCATAGAAGTTGTATTTAGTGCAATCTGAATAAACTATAGTTTCTTAATTTTTTTATGCAGATAAAAACAACACAAAAGGATTGATTTTACGAATAAAGGACTTATATTCATAGATCATAAAATATCCAAACTTCAGTGAACGTTAAAGAACATCTATACAAACACCCTAATATTTCTGCACAGAAAGTCAGACTCAGCAGAAAACGAATAGGATTAAGGCTCAAGACTTTCATTCTTCTTTTTACGACATAATAATGCTATTCTTCCAGTATTAAAATATAAAAAAAAATAGTAGATAACATAATAAATTATGTTAAAATTAAAAGGCCTAAACTAGTGAAATGTTAAATGCCAAATTTATACTCTTTGGTCCCTGACCCTACTTAGAAAAAAAATATTTTTATATAGTTTACACTTATCCTACATCTTTGACTTGCATTCTTCTAGGTATATATATCATTAGGCTTAAACCTTGTCTTTTGTTTTTGTTTTACTCTTCATTAAAGGAAATAAAGATTAGAAAACTGACTAGAGTGGGGAATTAGTCAGGAATTAACCGTGTGATTTCAGAAATCAATTTTAATGAAATAGTTTCTTTCTATTACTAAACACAGAATATTCAGATATTTTTTGATATCGATGAACACCAAGACATTTTTAGAAAATATGTATGTAAACTTAAGTGGGAATAAAATTTAAATAATACTTTACCTATTATAAAAATAAATTAACCATCCCTGGCCTCTTGTAATTTCAGAGGAGTTTCCCTTAACATCAGTCCTTAGAAAAATCTCGCTGTCTATGCCAAGTCACATTTAGACAGAAATTCCAGTCCTTTTAAGGAAAAAACAGAATTGGGAATGGCCATTTCTATTTTTCCTCTAGGAAAAAAAAGTGCTGTCAGATGGATTCTCTTTTCTTTTCATGTGCTTGTTTCCCCTTCGTTTGTTCATCAAATCAGTTGTCACTCATAAGTAAGCAAACACTTCATGGATGGTTAACTTCCTTGTCAAGTGTTTCCAACCCTGATGATGAAAAATAATAGTGAGGTTTGCATTCAACCTTTGAATTGGATCAAGCTCGATGTTTACTGCAAAAGAATATTATAATCAAACCTCCTAGGCACTTTAGTTAGGTGTTTAGAAAACACTACCATATATAGAAACAAAATTCAGTTTGTTCAACAAATATTTATTAAACATCTGCTAAATGTCAGGTACTGTGTTAAGTCCTGGATATACAAAGATGACTAAAACAAAACTCCTGCCCCAGGGATCACACTGTGGAGTGCAGGAGATGAGACAGGTAAACAATGTGGTACTTGGCTCTTTTATTGGCTCTTTTGTAGGCTTTCCTTCTTTTGTCAATTCCTTGAATATAAACTTTCTTGAGAGTTTTTGTCTTTGGCCCTTTTCACATCTTGCACATTCACTTCAGATCACCTCATGCATGCCAACGGTTTCAGATAGCACCTATTAAGTGATTTCTAAATCTGTATTATTGCCCAGACCTTGCCTGAGCTCCAAACTCATATACCAAATGTATACCTGCCACTAGTAAATTTAACATGACCAATACTAAACTTATTTTCCTTACCTCTACGATACTTGTTTCTTCTAATTCTTCTTGACTCCATCCCTTGTTCTCTAACTCCACTGCTATCAATTTAGTTTAACTTCCTGGATTATTTTAACAGGCTCTCCTTCCCCTATTAGCATCCTCCCAGTGCGTTCTCCAGTTAGATGCCAAAGTAATCTGTTCAAATGGCAAATTTGTTACTAACATTCCCTGCATACAACTCTTCAGTAGCCCTCCTCGTAACCTCCAGATAAAATCCAAACTCTTTGACATGTCATATAAGGCCCTTAATAATCTAATTTCTTCCTACTTTTTCCAGTTTCTTCTCTTACTTCCTTCTCATCAGAACTTGCTTTTCCCTAACCCTGCCACGCTCTTTCTTACCTCTTATTCTCTTACCTCCAGGCCTTTGCATATACTATCTTTTGCTTGGAACAACTTTATCCTACTTTTCTGCCTGACTGTTGTGTATTCTTTTTCTTCCCCCAGCTTTATTGAGGCATAATTGAAAAATAAAAATTGTATATATTTAAGGTGTACAGCATGATGATTTGACATACATATACATTGTGAAATGATTATCACAATCCCAAGCTAATTAACACATCCATCACCTCACAGTTACCTTGTGTGTGTGTGTGTGTGTGTGTATGGTGAGAACACTTAAAATTTACTTTTTTAGCAGATTTCAAGTATACAATGCGGTGTTATTAACTATAGTCACCATTCTGTACATTAGATCCCCAGAACTTATTCATCTCATAAATGAAAGTTTGTACTCTTTGACCAACATCTCCCCACTCCCCCACTACGTTTTCTTTAAGATTAAACTTAAGCTTCTCCTTCATGAAGACATTCCTGATGTCCACTTCCCCCTTTCCTTAACTGGTTTAAATACCCTTCCTCCGTGTTCCTGTAGCACTTTGTTCATGTGTTTTATGATAGAACTGACATATTTGATCAGTCTGTGTTATAAATGCCCTAATAAACAGCATGGGTGTAAAAAGCAGAGTGTGCTGTAAGAGTGAATCACTATAAATTGAATTGTCATGCGTCAAATATGGCCTTACTGAAGGTAAGAGATTTTTCCCCAGAAAAAGGATTAGAAACTCATTCTCACTGCACTTTAAATGTTATCTTTATCAAGGATGTTTGCATTTTAATGAGACAACCCTCATAGTTCGTTTTGATTTCAGCTAGATGTACCTCTAATTATTGAATTTCATCCATCAATCACTGAGTAGGAAAAGTGTGGGAGCTGGGGGGATACTGAAAGACCTTCACAGTTCTCTGAAATCCCAGGTATTCTGCCTCTGCAAATACTCTGACATCTGTGATTATAAAAGTCCATAGAGGAAAGCCCATGTTTCCTAAGAGAGGTCCAGAACCACTGAATCTATGAAGCAGTTTGGAACTGTAACATCTCTAAAATTATTTTTATATGTCTGAGAAGATTCAGCAATAATCCCAGAAAACTAAGGATAAATCATGTACAGAAATGCTGGAAGTGATTGCTGTCAAGGTCATAGACATAGGGTAACTCTATGAAGGAATTCTCGAGTATAATATGTGAACTACTTAGAATATTATAGTAAGAAGGTAACTTGGAGATCAAGTAGTCTCTCTTACTCTAAAGTCCAGGGAACTGAGGACCAAGGAGGTGTAATAATGTTCTTAAAGTTAGACAAATAGTTATGATTAAAAACAACTAGAACGTAGGATTCTTAACTCCTAGTCTGCTGTTCATTCTACTATAGCACACTACATTTCAAATAAATATGAAAATTATTCATCTGAAGCAATGTACGTGTATGTGTCAAGTATTGTTTTTTTGTTTCAATCTGTTTTGACTCAGATGAATTTTCTGTTGTCTCTGTCCTTTAGTATATCTACTATTTTCAGCTCCTATCTGTAAGCAAGGCCTTTAAGGAGCAAGTGCTCAAGAGATTATAAATACCTTCCTTTGGTTTCTTGGGAGAGGCATACCTGGCATAACAATGGTAGTTATAAGACTACCATTTATGATTCATTTTCTTTACCTGCAAAATGCATGACATGAATAAATTCCAACTTTACATTTGATACAATACTAGGTACTATAAAATAGATTAAAATATTCTGACACTATTCCCTGTAATTCCCAGTCTCTTTCAATTAACGATGGAAAAACTATGAGCTTTTAATAGAAAGGGTTCTGCTTTCTTAGGAGCATTGTTTTAGATTACAAGCTCTAGGCTTTCTTATTTAAGATTACATGACCAAAGACTTCAACATCTCTGACCTGGGTTCTTTGTTTTTCCACAAAAGACTTAAGCAAATCTAGTCAGGGAACCTTAAAGCTTTGTTGTTGGAACTCAGTTTGAAGCAGTAAAATATCTCTGTTAGAATACTGACCACAGCAGAGGCACTTCTCCCTGTCTCTGACTTATAGTTAGACAACTGCCTGAAGATAGGCAGTTGTCTTAAGCAGAAATTCACTGCCTTCTAGAAGAAATTCAGACGCTCCTGATTCCAGGCTGTAGGAGGTTCTCACCAAAGTGGTTCATAAGTCATGATAGGAATTCATTCACTCCTCCTGATGGTTCAGGGGCTGTCAGAGAATAAAGGAAAAGGAAGTAAGGTATACTGGAAGGAACTTTGCCATCAAACATATTCTGTACCTTGCTTTGCTTTTAACTAGCTGAGAAACCTTGGGCAAGCTGCCTGAACATTCTGAGTCTTATTTCTCTCATATGTAAAAAACAGGAATAATGTCTACCCAATAAGGTCATTGTGAGATACTGTTAAAGGAAATAATATACGTAGATCATCTAGTTTTCGCTAAGCTGCTGTATT